GCTTTGTTATTCTAGACGTGTGTCTGCCGGGGGCATGAAGCATTTACTGTTTGGCGTTCTAGCAGTCGTCTTGTTTGATGCTTTGCAAGTTGACGCGCGCTATCGACGCCCGTGGCACTTTTATGATTATATGGAGGATTATATGCGATTTCCTCGAGGAGGTAAGTGCCCGGTAACGGTGACATATGTTATCAGATTTCCACGCATCGATCTCTGAGAAATAAAGCCCGTTCCGGGCCAGGTGATCCCCTCGCTGTTTTTCCTGTTCATTTCTTTTTGCACGGTCCCCACTTTCTGTGCGCCGGGAACAGGGTACGAGGAATAGTGTGGATGAAACAAATGAGGGAGACAAATTTCATTAATAGACGCTGGGTTTATCCTACTTTCAGAAAAGCTGGTTTGTAGAGCTAGACTCCAGCCTGTACAGAGGTTGTCTTCTAGACAGAAAGAACGTCTCCCCGACCGACAACCGATTGCGCTGCTGGCGATCAACAAATAACCCGCGGTTTTTATATTCTTACGCGCGCTCCGGGATCGAGAAAAAGTGTCCCTTTCCCTTGAGTAGAGGTGCCCCTTCAATAAAGGTAATAAATGCAAAGATTATGTGAACATTTTTCCTGGACCAAATTTTGTGTCCCCTCCCCTAGAAGGAGATGTCCCAGAGGAGAGGGTGTAGTGTACCTCTTAAGTTAGCCAGGAATCCTTTACTAAATTACTCTCACCTTTATGATCTTTTTTTGTCCTGTATTCACAGCGAAGAATTGCCCAAAATGCGAAGGGACTGGTGTAACTCAAGAAGAAGCATTGAACATGTGTTCCAGCAGTTCCAGTTCCGAGACAAGTTCATTTCAATCAGCGGTATGCGCCATGAAAGATGTCCTTGGTGATGACAACAGCCATACCATTACTCGCTTCTGTATGAGTGCAATGGGTTTTGATGCAGAAACTTCTTTTCCTAGACAGAATGCCCCCTGTGAACAGCTGGTGGCCAACCATAGTGCAGGAAAGTGCGTTATGGAAAAATGCGAAAGCGACAATTGCAAGGCTCAATTGCCTGCACTGGTATGTATTATGAAATTCAAATGTGAAAATTTCTATTCTGCATCTTGTAAAATATATAAATTCTTCAAATACAGTGAAACCTGTATTAAGCGGACACCCTCTATTAAGCGGACAGTAGCCGAAGTCCCCAAATTTATTCCCCTTATTTTCTTTAAATGACACCTTTATTAAGCGGACACCTCTACTATATAAGCCGAAGCGGACACCTAAAAAGTACCTGAAATAGTCATCTCTATAGTTTCCAACCTGTATTAAACGGACACTTGAAATTAAATTCCACCACCCAACATGCCAGACACCGGAAATGCGAAAGACTGCCACCCACAAATTTTCATTTTTACCTTAAAAAACGTGTCTTGACGAACTTATTTGATTAGTTTCACAGTACAGTTATGTTTTCTATTTCAGTTTGTTTGTATAGAGCTTGTTTCGCTCATCTGATTCTTCAAATTTGAGTTGCAATTTGTGTTTGTGGTACTTTGATCAACTGGTCCACTTAAATAAAGAAATTAATGCAAACGTATATCGTCATAGTTTCTGGGAGTATTCTAAACGTTTCCACTGTTCATTTGAATGGCATTTAACACCTCATATGACGTTATCTATTGAAACCTGCATTAAGCGGACACTACAGCATTCCCCGAGGGTTTCCGCTTAATACAGGTTTCACTGTATCGAAAATTTTATCTTCTGCGTTACTTAAAATATGGAAATCTCTTCATTATGAATTCTATTTAAGAAATTAATTTTTCTATTAATAATCAAATTAAATATGGAAACTGTCAAATAAAAAAAATTCTATATTTTGCATCAAAATGTTAATGAATAGCCCATTTTACAGTTCATGATTACAGCTAGGTGGAAACGAGGCTGGAGTGAACCTTGTTTTAATACAAGCCCTCCTACTTTATCATGTAAATCATGTGGTCTTAAGCTAAATAGCATTTTTAAAGGATGATTTCCATAGGAAAAGGAAGGAGGAATATATCAGAACAAGGTCAACCTCAGCCTCACATTCACTCAAAGGCTCGGATACTAAGCCCACAACTGTAAAATAGTCTATTGTCTCAAACTAGGAATATTTCGCTACAGTTGTGTCTTTTTTGACAAATCTGGCTCTCTAATAGTGTTAAAAAATCTCGCGATGCCATAGAATAGTTAGACACAGATGACTTTATTCCAGAGGAAACATCAGAAACGTGTGTTTGGAAAAAAAATTAATGAGCCCCCTTACAGTCGGCCAGTAATATAATGATCTAATCTCTTCTGAACTTGTGAACGAACGGCTTCGTCAATAAGAACAGTCTGGGTACGAGATTATCAGTAATCTAAACACGTGACCGTCAAACTAACCACAAGATGCACCTAAACAGAAGAAAATCGCAATAACGGGTTAAAAAGTTAAAATAAGAATTTAATTTTTCCCTTTTTATCTTGA